ATCTATATAAATGTAAAAATGAATTACTGTTCGTTAGTCAGGCTTTTAGCGTCAAACAGCGAACTTATTACTTAAAAATTTGCTGGAAAAATACTAAAATTAAACTTAATTTTAGTATGACCGAGTATGAGGTCATAAAATCAAATAATGAAAGTGTTATTATTTTTTAATATTTTATTCTATTGAACATTCGAAATAATTGTATTTTTGACTAAGGAAAGTACCCAATTTTGATGATTACATGAATGTTAATATCTTTCGAATAAAGACATGATTTGAGAATAGAGTACGTACAATCCGAAGTCATGGCATTTTGTTGCTTTTGTTATTGTCTGTAAGAGATTCTTTATAAAAAAATAAATTAAAATTAAATGTAAAGACTAGCACACACTTAGCAATAATATTATTACTTTTTTTTGACGGGGGAAAATCATTCCATGACTTCTCCCGCCCGGGTTAGGCGGGAGGGAGTGTCAGACTCTTACTGACTAAAAACCACCTCGTTCTTGCTCCTGCACTTCGAACCGGAGCCCCGGTAACCCGTTACGTCTTCCGCGGCTCCGTATAGGCATCAGCCCTGTTAAGCCCCATATGTGGTGGTCTGATGGCTCCTTGAGGCGCGCGCGGAACGCGACGCGGCGCACGCTCGGGCCTGGTTCTGGTCGGGCGGCGAGTCACCCGTTGTCGCCATCCGCAGGCCCGCGCTTACGGTGGCCGGAGATCGTCTCGCGATCCCCGACGTGAGGTGGTCCGTTCTCTAATAATATTATTACCTGCAAACTATAAGACTCGAAGAATCCCTTGCCGCAGTAAGTACACCTGAAGGTGGCTCCGCGCAGAACTCGCTCGTGGGTCTTCATGTGCATCTTAAGGAGCGCTTGGGAGCCGAACTTTTTGGGACATTCCGTGCAGGCGTGAGTCTTTTCCTGTTGACAAAAATCCTTACTTAATATCCTTACTAATATTAGAAATTGGAAAGTGAGTTTGTTTGTTTGTTCCGCTTTCACACCGTAACCACTAAACCGATTGCTTTGAATTTTTGCAGACGTAAAGTTAGAAGTCCAGATTAAATAATAGGGTACTTTTTATCCCGGAAAAATTTGATATTCCCGAGGGAAAACAAAAGTATTGGTATAGATGGCTCTGTGTGTATTGATATATATGTCACATAGGCTACTTTTTATCCTTTTGTGACGCGAGTGAAGCCGCGGGTAAAAGCTAGTGTAAAATAAAATAGTGGTTGCCAGATGATTAAACCAAAGACCACAGTGATTTTTCACTACATGATTAACAAAAACTTACCAAATGTGTATCAGAGTGCTTGGCTAGAGAGTGAGAGTACTTGAACCTCTTGGGGCACTCTGCACACTGGAACCCGAGCCCGGAGTCTGCAGAGTGAGTCACCATGTGTGCCCGGAGTGCCATCCAGCTTGATATGGGCTTGTGGCATATTCTACACTCTCTTATGCGGGTTGGGTGCGTTCTGAAAGTTAAAGCAGCTCTTTAAGAATAACTGAAAAAACTGATGATCATCATCGTTTTTTTTTGTCACACGGCATACGATTTAAAGTTCATATTTAAATGACAATAACGTTGCTGGGTTGGGCCGTGCGTGTTAGGTGCGCAATGACCTTTGTTCCGCCTTTAGTTTTTCTAAATAAAAATTTATACCGATAATCACATCCACTAATCGACTGTAAAATTTTTATTAAGTATTTGCGCACTTATCAACTAGTTAGATCAGTCACGCCTCATGTTGTCGAAGAAGAAGAAAAATCGAAATATCAAAAATAATCGGGTATGAAAATTAAAAATGTAATCAGTCTGTCAGTTATATAATGATAAATTATTTTTAGGGAACAGAGAGTATAGTTCCCTAAGATCGGAAAAGGAGGATCCTCCGACCAGGCGAGGTGATCGTGCCTGGCGGGCTTTCTGCCCAACAGTTGCTCGTTGGGATTTTCTATCCGTGTTAATTCGTATGTGAACTTCGCATGTCCGATGTAGGATTTTATGACGTCATCCATTGACTTGTAACATACATATATGTCGCCACATATTAGAAACGTATTTTTTTATTTTCTCGTACCATACTTAGATAAAATGGAGTTAATTTTAGGAGTGGGAGGTCGTTACGTCACAACGTGCTACAAAATGGTAAATTTTGTGACGTCACGCCATATTTCAAATTAATATATCGTCGATAGTATTGAATTTTATGAGAAAAGAAAAAATACGTGTCTAATGTTTTAAATTAATCTACCAGACGGTCATTAAAATAAAATTAAGGAAACTACCCTATTCTTAACCGACCTGGGATATGAACCGAACCAAACATTTCTTGCTTAGCATTCACAAATTGGAACCACTAGATCAAAGATCACGTATCTATGTAGGTATATCAGACCATCAAAATATTAAGTTTAAAAATTGGGAACTTTCTTTATTTTAGTGAAAAAAAAAGTCCAACTCACCGTTGCCGATGATTCTTCAAGCTCCCTTTTGCACTGAACACCTTATCACAATCCTTACACGGAAACACTTTGCCATCAACACTGGTTTCCTCCGTAACCTCTTTCGAGTTCATCCTCTCAATAACACGAGCCTCTTTCCTCTCAAACCTCCTTTGTTCTTTCACTTTGGCTATTTCTATTCTTCTTATATTTGTTAGTCCGAACGTATGCCAGTTATGGTGGATTATGAAGCGCTTTGGATGTTTGAAGAGAAGTGCGCAGTGCGGGCACTCGAATACACCTTCGTGTTTTATGCCTGGAAATGTATAGAAAGTATTGATATAATTGACTTGATTG